ATACCCAATAACCGGGGATCCAATACTTATCAATAAACACATGCCCTCAATGGTCGGAGGACTTGAGAATGACCAAATACACTCCTTACACTTGTGCTTCCAGGGTTCTTGGAAAGGGACCATATGCTTATAAATCATTCAGATGGTGAAGGCCTCACTATGAAAACAAGAGCAGAGTGTTCTATAAAGAGGAAGCCGGTGAGGTGAAGTCCATCAAAACTCTCTTCATTCTTTGAGGTTCCAAAGGGCCCCTTCCTGGAGATGTAAATCTCTCACTAGGTAGCAATATCTGGAAGTATGATGCCTTATCTATTGGGTGAGGGTATGAGCATCTATCACAGAGCAATCTCCTGGTTACTGTTGTTTGATACAGGGTCTCATTACACAGCCCCTGCTGGCCTGGAACCACTATGCAGACACAGATGTCAGATCTGTCTGCCCCTACCTCCTGAGGCGCACCATCACACCTGATCAGAGAAATCTCCTTAAACATCCTTGTTTGTTTGTTGCTGAGGGCGTGAGTATAGAGGTCTTTTCATCGTGTGGGACCTGGGTCATCAGGCTTGGCAGGAAACACCTTCACCTGCTGAGCCACCTTGCTGACCCACATGGCACTCTTTGAGAGCCCAAGCCTCTCTTCCTTGTCCTGAATTCTGTTGATTCACTTTGAGTCCTGAGTAGACTTCAAAGTCAAGATTATTTTTATGATTTTGATTTTGATTTTCTTTGGTATAGGGGTCTCATGTAGCCCGGGATAGCCTTAAATTTGTTGTGTAGTAGAGAATGAACTTGAACTCTTACTTACTCTTCCCTCTCCCAGCTTCTACTACTAGGAGTAAAGGAATGCCCCCACCACACCCGGAAAATGTCCAGGGAGTGCTAGAATGCTCTCCTCTCCTGAGGAATGAGGAAGGATAGACATGTAGCAGAATAATAACTCAGTCCAGATCAGCTGCCAGCATGGGTGTGGGAGTGTGGAAAGCGTTACCCTCAGCCTGCTGCAGGGTAAACCCTGCCTCTCCAAAGATGGAAAGAGCCCCCATTCCTGCTGTCCTCATCTCTTGGGGGAGGACTGTCAATGAAATCACTCGTTCTAGCGGGCTATGATGGGAGGAAACCCAAAACTAGAGGTCAGAAACTCACCTAGGTCTCTCTTTCCTTAATTAGCTCCTCTCTGGGCCGCAGTTTCCCTGTGTGTTAAGTAGAGAAGCTGAACTGTCCAGAGAAGTCTACAGTTTTCTATAGACCACAAAGCACAGGCTCACTGAGATTTCATATTGTGTTCTTTCCTTGATCAAGAATCATCAGTGACTCTCTGGCCATGCACATATAAATGCCTCCCCAGTGATGGAAATATAAAACATTTAATTCCCTTACAGTTTGGTCGTACACTCCAAACACTTACATGAGAGTTGTCTGGGAAATTGAGTCAAAGGAAATGGCTCCTAAATCCCTCCTGGGATCTAGATGGAAAACAAGACAGGCTATGATGTCAGCTGCTGCTTCCTCTGTGATCAAACTAAGGAACACAAACACCAATATTAAATTATGTGTGCATACTTCTTTATTTTTGCGTCTCAGTGCACTTCACAGGAAATCCTTTGCCCTTAGCCTTTGGTTCATGTTATAGAAAGAGGGGAAACATGGTGAGCTTGGAAATATAGCATTTTAGAGTTAGAAGTGACTTCAAAGATGAGACTCAAAGCATTCGGCATCCAGATGAGGGAAAAATAATGAGGAGTTGAAGATGTGAAATGACACCATCCAATGATGTGAAATGACTTCTGGAAGCATCATGTTTTTTAATTTGCCTCACCTAAACCCTCTGTGTATTGGATGACACCATCACCTATATGCTATATAAATAGATATATAAATAAGAGCCAGGCGGTGGTGGCGCACACCTTTAATCCCATCACTCGGGAGGCAGAGGCAGGCGGATGTTTGTGAGTTCCAGGTCAGGCTGGACTGACAGCCTCCAAAACAATACAGAGAAACCCTGTCTCGTAAAAACCAAAAAAAAAAAAAGATATATAAATAAGCACTATTTAAAAGCCTAAAATGGGGATCCTGTTTTTATGGGTGTTCTCCAAGACAATTAGAGGGGCCATGCAAAGGGGAAAGGCCAAGTTCACCATGATGTGTGTCCTGGACGCAGAAACAATCCCCCTAGACCTGATGCACACTAGTAAACTGGGCTGCACTAGTCAATTAATGCCTCTCGGTCACTTGAGGCACCAGACCTTCCTAAGGAATCTTCATACAAATTACACTGCCCTGGGGCTGAAGAGGTGCCTCAGAAGCCAACAGCACTTGCTGCTTTTGCAGAGGACCCAAGTTCAATTCCCAACACCCACAAGGAGGCTCACAACCATCTGTAACTGCAGTTCCTAAAGATTCAACACCTTCTTCTGACCTCCTTGGGTACCAGGCACACACATGATGCACAGACATCCATGCAGGAAAAACACTCATAAAATAAAAGTAAATAAATCTAAAGCAGGCGGATCTCTGTAAGTTCAATTCCAGCCTGGTCTGACATAAACAGGTGCCTCTTGAATTTAACAACTCAAGTCTCTAAAAATCTACACTTTTTTCAATAAGCATATTTTTTTGCTAATTTAATCCATTCTGTGAACCAAAAGGAGTTCAGTATAGGAAAAACAAAGTATTTCCACATCTAAACACAGTCTAAGCTACTAGATATGTAATTATTTCCTTCCCAATCTGTTTTGCTCCACTTTTCAGATGGATGAGATCAGCTTATTGATTTTTGTTTGTTTGTTTGTTTTCAGTGACAGGGTTTCTCTGTGTAACCCTGGCTGTCCTGGAACTCACTTTGTAGACCAGGCTGGCCTCAAACTCAGAGGTCCACCTGCCTCTGCCTCCTACGTGCTGAGAATAAAGGCGTGAGCCACCATGTGTGGCAAGCTCTGATTATTGTTCAAACTGGCTGTTTTGTTATCTGTTTTAGTTTGGTTTTATTGATGTGGTAAATGCCATAACCAAAAGCAACTTGGGAAAGAAATAATTTATTTCAGCTTACAGCTGTACTCTGTCACAAAGGGAAACCAGGGTGGGAGCTGGAGGCAGTGACGGAAACCGAGGGCCTGGAGGAGGGCTGCTTGCTGGCTTGTTCAGCCGGCTTCATCACACAACCCAAGATCAGCTGTGAAGGAATTGTACTGCTCACAGTGGGCTGGGCCCTCCTACATCAACCTGTAATCAAGAAAATGCCCCCACAGGCCAATCTGTTGGAGACATTTTGTCATTTGAAGTGCCCTCTTCCCAGATGACCCAAGCTGGTGTCAACTTGACACAAAATCTAGTCAGCACACTGCCTGACCACAAGTGATGATATTTCAACATTCATACTCTCCAGACTACTCTGCCCTCAGTGATGCAATTAGAATTCAAAACACACGATCTTTCCAGGCTCCTTCCGAGGGAACTCACTCGCTCAGCAGGGCTTGGCTGGAGCTTTTCCTTGGGAGTCAGCCCCTCCTACACTAGAGCTGCTCCTGCTGGTCCACTGTATGAATTATAGATGCAAGTGTTCATTAAAGCTCGAATAAGCAGACGAGGGATTTTTTTTTCTCCCTAACCCCAGGGTCTTACACGCTGTCAATCAGGAAGGTAGACAGTTATGCTAACACTATCAATTGCTCTCATAGTAAATGGTTGTTCTTTTTTTAACCCCAAATTCATTGTTGCTACACAACGCACCCTCAAGACAAGACAACCTGGCATTGAATTATGTGAAAAATTCAGCTTCTGATTTCATGTCTGAGAACTTAAACAGTGCACTTGGTTTCCTCTCATCTGTACAATGTTAGTCAAATTAAATGTGGCTCACACTTGTGATATTCCAAGGTCTGCATCAGAATATAAGAGTCATCTAACTCCAAAAAGGAGGATACGGAAACGATTCCGGAAATGTTAAAGCTTCAGTCTCTGGGGTTCTAGATGTCAATAAGGTATGAAATGCACTAGCTGAGGACGGTAACCTTGAACTCTATTTTTTGGGGGAGGGTTGTTGTTTATCTTGGGGTTGTTTGTTTGAGACAGCCTATCTAGCCCAGATTGTCCTTGTATATGACTTTGTAGCCCAGGCTGGGCCGCAAACTTGCAGTGACTCTACAGCCTGTCTCCTGAGGGCCGAGAGCCTTCCCACCTTGACCTTCAACTGTTGATCTTCCGCCAACCCTGTGCTGGGATCACAGGCGTGCGTGCACCTCTGTGCTGGCTAGGTTTTGTCACCTGGACACAAACTAGAGTCACCTGGGAAGAGAAAACCTCAATTGAGGCCTGGTCTCCACCAGACAGGCTTGTTGGTGGTTTGTGAGGGGCATCGTCATAACCACTAATGGACGGAGGAGGGCTTAGCCCGCTGTGGTCCTGAGTTGTAGAAGAAAAGTAGCTGCTGGGACCAGGGCAAACTAGCCCGTGAGAGGAGCACCCCTCCTTGGTCTCTGCTTCTAGCTTCTGGCTTGAATTCCTGCCTTGGCTTCCCTGGATGATAGATTGTAACAGGTTAGGTGAAATAAACCTCCTCCCCAAGTTGCTTTGGTGGTGTTTATTACTACGGAAAACAAACTAACAGCCCAGGCTTCATGCATGCTAAGTAATCGATATGGAAAATGAGCTACATTGGCAACTAAGTTTTTTCTGGCTAGTGTGTTTTAATTTTCAAATCTAGGAAATGAAGATTATAATGTGCAATTCACGAAGTACTGTGTCGGGTACTCCATAATGCTAGCTACTATTATTTATGGTGTTACATATGCACAAGCCTCCCTACTAGACAGCATAAAACAACTTTACTGGTAGCACTGCCGGTTCCAGCCCCGCGGTCGACTACCTAAGAAACCACCGAGATCCACCAAGGTTCCAAGATTTGAGACTTCGGCCGCCCCCTTCTGGTCTCCTTGCTTCATACGCACGCGGACTGGATGAGGATTGACCCTTGCAGGTTCCCGTCACAGGACGGAAACGAGGGTGGGACAGGAAGTAGAGTCTGACTGAGTTCGGGTGGAAGGCGGCCACAGGAGGAGAGCAGGGTGCAGCGCCTGCAAGCTTTGGAGAGAGAGCCGCAATGTTCCGGATCGAGGGTCTCGCGCCGAAGCTGGATCCCGAGGAGATGAAGCGGAAGATGCGCGAGGATGTGATCTCCTCCATTCGGAACTTCCTCATCTACGTGGCCCTGCTGCGAGTCAGTGAGTGTCCTTCGCGCCGTGGCCATGAGGCCACGCGTCCACCCCAGCCCTGCACGCGGCCGTGGGGCCTTGAGTTGTGCATCCTAGGGAGGGCGGGGCATGCATGCCCAGGGCGGCCCGACCGCGTGCCCTCTGGGGGTCTGCGGGTCCTGAGAATGTGCCGGGGGATCGTGGTGGCCGGGGGCGCGTGGCTAGGTCACCTTTGCTCACTTAGACCTCCGGGAGTTATCCGGTGAACCAAACCCTGGTTTGGCCAACCTAGAGACGGTCCCCGGGAAGTGGCTGACCCAAGGTCATCTGGAGATTGAGAATCAACATGAGCTAGAATTCCGAGCTCTTAACTCGGTACCACGCACTTTCTTTCGGTGCTTGCCTTTGAAATCCGAAAAAATGTGCTTTCCTTGTGTTTGTTTGTACAGAGGCTGAAGTAAGTAGTTGGTTTTCCTTTTCCTGAAAGATGAAAAGAGAAAGGCGCTTGTAGAGCTACTGAGATTTCACCACTGGCAACAACTTAATTTCCTTACTTGAGCGTTGTTCCTTTTGCAAGTGAGAGCTTGAGTTCAAGGGGCACACCAGGGTTAAAGACAGACTAACAAAGTAGAAAGTGGATGGTTAACTGGGTTAAGGCACGTGCCGCCAAGTTGGATCCACAGAAGAGAGCCGAGTGATTGTACTCTGACCTCCACATCTGCACCAACGTGTGCACGCACACCAGAATACACACAAATAAATAGCAAAGTGCATTTTGTAGCCCTGGCTGTCCTGGAACTCGCTCTGTAGACCAGGCTGGCCTTGAACTCACAGAGATCCGCCTGCCACTACCTCAAAATAAGGATTGCTTGTTTTTTAAACAATTAGTTCTCGACGGGCATTGGTGGCGCACACCTTTAATCCAGGACAGCTTCCAAAACAATACAGAGAAACCCTGTCTCAAAAAAAAAATAGCAAAAACCAATTAGCTCTCTAATGATATAACAGAATTGACTGACCCTCACGCCCTCCATACAACATCCTTCTCGTTGTTCGGTGCTTTGCATTTACCAGCATTTTTAGAGTTAAGCGGCGCCTGGGATTCACGGAGGTGGAGGGCTCGTTCATTCAGTGCCGTTTTCTCCCGGTGTTGCTGGCCTCTCCAGGAGAGGGCATCATGGAGATCAGAAACACCCAAGTCATCTTGTTCATCCGAAGCCTCTTGACACTGCTTCTCAACCTTTTCTTAGAGAAGAGCTGCCGAGAAAGCATTAGCTTAGTGATCTGTATCTGATGTGCACCAACTTAGCACTCTTCAAAGAGTCCTATTTGTCTGCTAGTCTTGTACGTGAGCCACATGCCAGCGTGCATCTGCACAGTCCAGAAGGGGCGTCGGAACCCCTGGAACTAGAGTTAAACAGGCAAATTGTAAGCTGCCAGGTGTGGGTGCTGGGACCAGAACTCTGGTCCTCCTGATTGACAGCAGACAGGCTTTCTGCTGGGCTGTCTCGGTTCTAGTAATGATGTCACTTAGTGTCCCAGACAGTTCTGTGTGTGCCACTTAACAAACCAGCAGAGTAACTGGTGTGACCTGAAGGACGCAAAGGACAGGTAGTCTCTGAGAAGACCCTGTGCTTTCTGCCAGTTGGTTGCTTGCCCAGGATTGAGATGTGAACCCAATGCCCATTTGTTTCCGCTAGACTTTTGTTCTGTTTAGGTCAAAATAACTCCCCAGAGCTAGAGATACACCTTGGTAAAGGGCTTGCCTGGCCTGTGCAAGGCCCTCGGTTCAACTCCCTGCACTGCAAAGTCAAAGGTCCCCACGGTAAGGGACTGATATTTACAGCCGTGGAGGAAAGGTTGGGGGGGGGGTTTATGGTGGAGAACTGAGTGACACTGGAATGCGCTCAATCACTGTTTAGGAGTTGTTGCCAAAACCATATTTCATAAAGTTTCTTTTACACCCAGTTGTATAATTCTGCAGTATAGCCTGTGGACTCAGAATAAAACCTAATTTGGGGTTTTTCTTTCAGCTCCATATATCTTAAAAAAGTTGGACAGCATATGAAGATTGGAAGCACACGGATGCATGGCATGAAGAATCTGGTGACAGTTTCTCCTCCTGTCTGCAGATGAATCGGCCCAGAAAGGTGTAAGACTGATTGAATAGACATAAAAACTCTACTTGTTAAGACCAAGTCGGGCCTTGAGAACTGATCTTCGTAGCTGAAATATAAAACTCTTTGGGAAGTGCGAAATGATGTCTTGTGGTCTGGTTGCCCTTGGGCCTGTGAGAGCCACCTCTGTGAGGGTTGATGGAATTGTAAAAACTATCAAACTCTAAGGGGCTTATGTCTGAAATGGTACTGTCTCGGCAGTCATTTCTGTTTACAACTTCTGTATTTGTGAAGAGTTTGTTTGATGGAAGTCAGCATACACCCACAATGACATTTAAGCACAGAACCGTCGGTCTATATTTTTAATAAACACTCTGATGAAAAAAGCTTAGGTTCTTGGGGGGTTTTTTTGATCCCACGTTTTGCTGGTGATGGCCATCCCTGGTAAAACCGCTGCAACACTGAAGCTATTGCTCCTGTAGAGAGTTTCCTTTGAACTCTATGTGGCAGTGTGCTTTCTTGCCAAATTCCTAATGGACTGAGCTCACTGCTTGATGCTGAAAATAGAACCACCATGAATGGTGGGAAAATGCTGTATTTAAAATCAAATATATTTCTCTGGGTTTGTTGGCTGAAGGGGGCAATGTTCCAACTATCTATGCCCACGTTTTACCGTGGTTTTTTAAGACTGTTTGTGCTTTGTGTATATGTGTCTGCCTGCATGTATATATGTGTACCATGTGGTGCCCCTGGAGACCAGAAGAGGACATTGGATTCCCTAGAATCGGAGCTGCAGCCCCACCAGCGTGTCCCCTGGTAGCATGCTGCTGCGGCCGCCGTAATTTCTGGTTTAGTTATTGCCCGCTTGCTACTGGCGTATTGACAGGACTTTGTTCAATCTTTATACCCATCGTGCATGCTTGTCACTGTCTCCCTGTGCGTAACCCAGTGTGATTTTGGCTGGACTGATGGTTTTCTTTTCCTACACATTTTTTCTTTTAACCCCTAGGCTTATTTTTCCACTAAATGAACTAACCTTTCACCAGGTACCAAAGCTGTTGACATCATTTGGTGTGATCAGGTGCCATCTTCCCTAGGGAGTCTTCCCAGAGCCTTTGCTTCTCTGACTGTATGGCTGTAACTTGAGGACAACCTTTTCTTATCCCAAATTGAGTCTCCTGTCTGCTAATGTTTGCTTTCATGGAACCCTGGCTGGTGACATGGAAGGTAAACATTTTTAGACCTTTCTGACCTGATAGTTGCTTTTTTTCTAGTCTCACCTTTTTGCTGAATGTAGAGCTCTGGCTTGGAACCTTCATACTTCAGTATTTTAAGGCATTGAGACATTGGCTGTGGGTTTGAGTCTTCTAAGAAATGAAGCCATTCTGACTCCTGGTCTCTCTTTGAGGCCTGATTTTTCTCTCTGAGAACCAAGGATCTGTTGTCCTAGTCTTCTATTCCACAGTGACACACTCTAGTATGTGTTTAATTCACTGTACTGGGCACTTGATCGCTGTGTTAAAACTTGAAACATATCATCCATTAGTTCTCATGAGTTTTGTGGTTTATTTGTTGGTTTTTTGTTTTGGTTTGGGTTTTTTGAGACAGGGTTTCTCTGTGTACCCCTGGCTGTCCTGGAACTATGTAGACCAGGCTGTCCTCAAACTCAGAGATCTGCCTGCCTCTGCCTCCCAAGTGCTGGGATTCGATGCTTGCACTGCCCTCCCCAGCCCCCCTCCCCTGAAATTTTGAGTATTTTTTTGGTGGTTTCTTTCCCTCCTCTCTTTGTAGAGACAAATAACACAACCGTTATGCTTTCTTTGTCCTTCATAGTCTGGTGTCTAAAGTGGCTTTTGTCTGTTTTTCATGTTAGGAGACTGAGTGGGTGGAGCTTGATGGCCTTAGGCTCTTAAGGGAGATCTTTGGAGGTATTTAATTGGCAAGAAGGTATGTGTCGATACTTTAGGTATTTTCTATTAAGCTGGTCATTCCTAAGAGAACATGCTTCCGATCTTGTACGTGAAGAAGGTAGGCCTCGCTAGGATTCTGGGAGTCAAGTGATGGGTGAGGGCTTAGGTGAGGCCCCAGGCAGAGGGAGATGGCCACCTTGTAGAGGTTGCTTAGCCCACACCTGAGAGCTTAGACCTTCCCTGGCTAGTTCTTAGCTTAGTGACTACCATTTCCGAGACTGTACAATGGGATTCTTTTTTTGTTTCATTTGCTTTTCCTACTGCTGGCTTTTGCTTTCCAGCTTTCAGCTGCTGTTTCATGCCCTCTCATTTGAGATTCTAACTTTAACCTGGACAAAACCCTTTACTGTTATCCACTGGAATCTCAGGCGAGTGCGTGTGTTCAGCTCGCCGCCTTTACCCACACAGCACGCGTGTTTTTAGCCTGTTACTCGGTGTTGTGTGTAGTAACCTACATCCCCTCCTTAGCTGCAAGCATGCAGTTTGTAACACCATGGTGTGAACACTGCCCCAAAGAGAAGTACATTGGATTTTGGGTCCTGGTCCCGGGGCTTGAGATGCTGAACCTCTGAATTCTTTTTCAGTTGTGGAGTAGTAGAATGCCGGTCAAGGGGAATAACTGGCACTTGGTAAGCAATAATTACTGATGGTTGGTCTGATTGCATTTGCATTGGCGGATGTGATAGGTGGCATGCCAATCCTGATGTGTACTCAGACTTCCGGAATTATCAGGCACTAAGTAGACAAGCGTGGTGGCACCCATCTGTAATCCCAGCTAGAAGGATTTTAGTTTGGGGCCCACCTAGGCTGCCTGAAAACAAACAACAAAAATCACTTAAATTCATTACCAAAACATAACCTTGACCAGTCAGCATCTTTTAACAAATGGAGGAGTTTAGGATCAAGTTTCAGTGTGGCATTTAAACAGCTTTCCAAGTCTCGGGGGACTTTTGATATTTGTGTGCTTTTCCTAAAGGAAAAGTGTGGTTGCTGCTGGGGATTCTAGTGTGAGTTCAGCCTGAAATAAGAAAGTGTGATGTGGCCAGGCGGTGGTGGCACACGACTTTAATCCCAACACTTAGGAGGCAGAGGCAGGTGGATCTTTGTGAGTTCAAGGCCAGCCTGGTCTACAGAGCAAGTTCCAGGACAGCCAAGGAAACCCTGTCTTGAAAAAAAAGAAAACAAAATGTGATGGTCAGTTTTCAGTAAGTGGCTTGTTTTAGCCTGCTGCTACATGGTCCTGGTGTACCTTGAACTTTGAATCCTGCACCTCTGTCTTCCAAGTGCTGGGTTACAATTCTGTGGCCAGCCTGTAGTAGCTTTTTTTAAATTCTGGCTATACTAAGAGTGTTCAGTGCTTGGAGCAGGCAGTTCTAAAATAATACATTAGAAAATATTTCGGGGCTGGAGTGATAGCTCAGTGGTTAAAAGCATTGACTGGGGACCCAGGCTCAATTCTCAGCCCCAAATGGTAGGTGTCAACCTTCTGTAACTCTGTCTGGGAGTCATAATCTAATGACATCCCTGGACACAAAACCTACACGTGATGCAGACAAAACACTCATGAGCATAAAATAATTTTTTTTGAGATAGGGTTTCTCTGTGGCTTTGGAGGCTGTCCTGGAACTAGCTCTTGTAGGCCAGGCTGGTCTCGAACTCACAGAGATCCACCTGCCTCTGCCTCCCAAGTGCTGGGATTAAAGCCGTGTGCCACTAACACTTGGCTACAAGTAATTTTTTTAAGGAAAATATTTAGACTGTGTACATAGTTGGAGTATGTAAAGAAGATTTGCATTTTGTAAACATGAAATTGAGGACATTGGGGGAAATGGGGAAGAGAAATCTTAATTCCTTCTAATTAATAAGGGGGCAGGACTTCTGCAGCTAATTTAATGCTCTTCATTGCTAACAGTACATTAAGAAAACACTTTCTTTGCCCCTTGCAGTTGGGATAGCAATAGCTTTGCTACACTCAGTAGTTCTTGGTTGACAAACATGAGCCTACGTTTGGAGTGAAAGACAGGTGCAGAAATCTGAACTATTTGCTTGCTCGATTCAGAAAAGAAACCAGCTGACATTTGACCTTTTTTTGTCCTGTCATGCTTACTTCATAATATCTGCATACAGCGCAAGCCATCAGAAAGACCACACTTGGCAGGACTGGCTAGCTTTGCTTTGGGTTGAATGGTAAGTATTTCAGACCTTCGGGCCTGCACGGACTGGTGGTCCAAAGGAAGACCTGCTACAGATGGTCAAGACAGTGAGGCAAGTTTCGGAGCTGTGGTAGAAAAGAACACAAACACAAAGTTATCACTTTGATTGGCACTTTCCAAGTTCCGCGTGAGAATAGCAGCACATTTTATTTTACATGCATTTGGTTGTTTTTTGAGGCTGGTCTTAATGCATCCTCGGTTGGCCTCAAAGCCACTCTGTAACCAAGGAAGATGCTCTTGAACTTCAGATGCCCTGTTTCTTCTGCCTCTCAAGTGCTAGGATTACTGGCATGTGCTACTATCCCTTGATGTTGCAGTGCAAGGGCTAGAACCCAGGACTTCACAAATCCTAAGCAAGTGCTTTACAAACTGAGCTACAGCCCCAGTCCTAGTATATTCTAAACACTCGTGTTTGTTTGTTGAAAAAGAACTCTATTACAAATGCACCTTTGCTGTGAACTATGAATAGTGAGTAGGCATCAGAGCCATACACCTGCAAATCAAAGAATACATGCTCAGAGGGAGTTGGAAGGGTGATTATATCCTGGCACACTGGGTAGTAAGCTCTGAGTGAGAGGAGAGGTTCAAGTCTAATAAGGAAAACAGCACCTGTGCTGTTACATAAGTTCCAGACGTCATGTGCTGAGGTGCCTTCCAGAACAAATGGCACACTAACGTCACCTGGGAAGCTTTTAACAAAGGCCTCTCAAAGCAGTCACTGTGGAGGAGACCAGAAATCTGGTTTTCATAAGCATTCAGGTGATCTCGTCTCAGGATCTGCTCTGGAGAACTGATAAATTTCTATTGACTTACGGTCTTTTCCAGTTATAAAATTACATGATTGTTCAGAAATAAGCCAAAGGGAGAACTGAGTAGTTGCGGATTTCATTAGTAAAACTGTAGCATGAAGGACTGCTGGGTAGGACTGCACACACCTGTGATCCCAGAGCAAGGTGGGCAGAGGGGGGCTGGGGGGTCTGCACGATTGAGTCAGCCTGAGCTGCCTAGCAAGACAAAATAAAAAGGTCCTCTGCTCCGACAGCG